ACGCTGGGCCAGCTAAATGACACATGTGGTTAGTGTTTCTGGCAGTGACCCTACCAAGAATGTTGCTATACATTTAATAGCACAAAAAGTTGACAGTTTGCAGAAATACTGTGAAGATGTGGGATGAGGACAAATAGTGTAGAATCCTTGAACCAAAGTGGTTCCATCATTACTTTCAGACTTACAAACCAGGGTGAAGTAACTGGTTTGTAAGTCTGAAAGTAATGACGGAACCACTTTGGTTCAAGGATTCTACACTATTTGCGGAAAGACCATAAGGAACTGGTGGCCCCACCATGTTGTGGAGAGACCCTGCCAGGTCAAAACGCCATCCAGTGGAACAGTGGATTCCTCTTGGGCTGGTGAAGTGCGGTCACACATTGGATTTTATTTGCTGAGTCGAGGGGCCGGGCCTACCACTCCAAAAAGAGGCAAAGGAACAAAAGATGAGCTGACCCACTGCCAGACAACAGTGGGGGCCCATGTTGGGCCCACAAATGGCCAGTGTCTCTTCCACACTTCCACAGGCCTCCTCTCCGATCTGGAAGAAGTGTGTTCTTTCAAAGCAGTTAAACATCCTGGTTGGTCATGGAATGCCAGATAGAATTAACTTGAATCTCAGCCCTCCGCTGTCTTCATGGAGCCTTAGAAGTTCTGCCCAGCACTGAGCCCATCTCTCCTCTTTGTGACCGATCCCCTGTGCCCCCAATTGTCTCCTCCTTTGCCATCCCTGGGGCTTCTCGTTCCCTCTGCCTAAGATACTCTTCCTTCCCGTCCCTCTCCTTCTGAGCCAGGCCATCCCCAACCCTCCCACAGAACTTGCCCGAGTCTCCACAGATGACAGAACCGGACATTTTCTCATTCTGAGATTGCAGCCCATTTTGCTTCATAGTGCATTTGTTCTAGAATGTAGTCTCTCGAGGTCCCATTCCTGCCCTTGCAGTGTCTTGCACATATCAGGTCCTCAATAAATATTTGAATTTGGTTTTCTGGAGAGAAGGAGTTTATGTGGAGGGCTGCTGCCCGGGAGGGAATTTGGGAGGACAGTACAGAGAGCAGTGGGCCCTGGGTGGGGGGCAGGACCAGCTGGGGCCTGAGGGTGTTGGCTGACACTTGGTCGGAGCAGGTGGGTCAGTAGATACTAGAGAGCATTTAGTGCAGGCCTGTCACTTGCTGGCATTTGATCTTGAGACAGTTTAGCTAATTTAAGATGATTTACATGCTAAATTAAAATTCAGAGAAAAAGCAAATGTCCATTTCATTAGTTCAGTCTTAACGGTAAATTCCATTCACTTCCGTCAGACACTCGCTGTAATCTTGCAATTGGCTCATTGTAACCGTATCACTGTCTTGTAATATATTTGTGCATGACCTTTCAGTGGTGCTTTGGAGTTGCCAAGCACATGAATGAATGTTCTTGTCTGGTCATTGGTGGCTGGCTTTGATGTAAGAGTGATGTTCGGACTTAAAGACCCTTCGACTGACTTTGTCATTTCATGGCCCCTTTTGGGAATCTGAATTTGTCTTGTCACAGAGAATCTGGGAGTGCAGAGTTCTTTTACACACGTCAGCTGGCTCAGCCTTGTGAAGAGGGCCAACAAAGGAGTGTGTCATATCAAGGTCCTTCAGGAGTGAGGTCCATAGTGTCTGGTCTGGGGGACCAGTGGTGGGACGGAGCAGGCTGTCAGCAAGGGCCTGGCTTGTGTGGCCTCCCCTCCTTCCCACCCGGCTTGTGTCCTCTGCGCTCTCCTCCGCTCCACCTCAAGTGGTACTGTAATATTGTGTGTATGAGAGAGTCATCCCTCACGTGCCCTTTTATTTTAATCTTCTAGTTTACCACGGTGTCTTCTTAACTCTTAACTGTTCTTACCCACCCTAACATTTTCTTCTGAAAACTTTTCATGTGAGTCTTCTAAGCTTTTCTCTAGAGTTGCCTGGCTTAGGAACAGCCGCCTCAATCCCTGTTAGACAGACACCAGGAGAGCCTGTGTGGAAATACACGTGGGCAGGTTTCCATGTTCCCTGTACTTCACCACCAACTCCCTGTCTGATGGACCCGTTGAGGCACTGGCCTGTTTTCTCAGTCTTTCCTCATCAACATCAGCTTCATTTTCATTTGTTTAACAAGTGTTTATTCAGTGTCAGGTACTGTGCTAGACGCTGGGGATTTGTCAGTGAACAAAACAGACCCCAACAGCCCCCCACACACACACGGTGCCATCCTGCAGCGCCTCTTCCACTCGCACGGGGTGGGGGTGGGCGCAGGGGGCAGACTGTGAACAAGTCCCCAAGCAAGATGCGCTGTGTGCCCAGAGGCAGCCAGGGCTCCAGACAGGGCTGTGGTGGGCCAGGTGGGAAGTCACCCAGTCCCCTCTGCTGGCTTTTCTTTCTTGATGGAAGGAAAGAATGTCAGCAGCGAAGAGAGAGGCAGGGAGTGGAGGAGCAGAGGAGAGGAGTGCAGGGATCAGGCAGGCTGGACACAGGGGCAGTGGGGAATGGGCATGTCTACTGTGGAGCTTGCCGGCTCGAGGTGTGTGCAGGCGTGTCAGCCACTCCCGCCTGTCCTGTGAGTCTCTCATAGCCTTGCTGTGACTCTCAACCTCACCCCACCTGCAGTCACCCACACAACTGATCCCGGGGTGTCCTTTTCCTGTTATGTGGCAGAACCTTGAGGCATGGTGTGGTTTGTGACAGTTGGAGGAGACCCATCAGTTCATTTAGCTCAGGTTAAGTAAATATGACATTTGACATGTAATTTTTGAATGGGCTTTGACAGTTTTGCTCTTCATGCCAAAAAACTACCTTTCTCTCTCCTCTGATGACCAGAAGCTCCTAAAACACATTCATGACTAAATACAGCCTCGTGTCCCCCTTTCTTCTGGTCCCAGCTTGTAATTCTGGATTTGAGTCCTTTGACTCTCTGTCTGCTGGGAGTTTGTGGAGGGCATGTGGGGGCGTTTGCTGGGGGGGCCTAGGGAGCCCTCCCGGGTCTCGCTGCCCTTTCTTTACAAAATGACAATGGCTTCCTCCCTGGTGATCGGGAAGCAAAGCTATGGAACTGGACAGGACTCTGTCCTGTTTTCTGATCATGAAAGATCTGGTGGAGAGTAAGTGCTGGAGAAAAGAACACGTGAATAATAGAGGAGATCACACACACATACATACACATTCACACGTGCTCACACCACACATGTACACTCACTGGTCAGACGTTACTCCGGAATGATTCATGAGACAGACCCCACAGTAAGGAGTGAGGTCTTGGGCCATCGTCCTCGGTTCATACAGTCATGGTGGAGTCTGCACGCGTGGTACTTGCCCCTGCCATTGCTCGTGTGACGGTGCTGATGGTGTTCTGCTTTGTCTCTCCAGGTGCTGCAGGGGGCCCAGCTGATAGCTGTGGCCTCTTCAGACCCTGCTGCTGCAGGGGTGGACGGGTCGCCTCTCCAGGGCAGCGACATCCAGGTCCAGTACGTCCAGTTGGCACCGGTGACTGACCACACCACTGCAGCTCAGGTGGGTCCTGCCCCTTCTGGAAGTGGACACCCTGTCTGTGGACGGGTCCTGGGGCTTCTGCAGGTGTGAACACGAGCCCCAGCCTGGGTATTTCTGCTTCTGATGTTCTCCCGGGAGGAAGGTAATTACCATTAGAAGATGCATCATTTGGACACAGGCACTCATTTGGAATATTTTTTATAAGTGCCTGAATAATGTATCGGTGATATTAGATCCTCGCCCGGGTGATAGTTTTAAACCTGTTCTTGAGATATTCTGTCTTGTGCAAATGTTTGTCTATGAATTCGAAGGCAAATTTTAACTTCTTCTCAATCCCCTTCCACAAGTGGGGGGTCCCCACTGACTTGAGACCTCGCTGCTCCTCAGAGTCGGGTAGCACCTGGCCCAGGGATCACTGCTTCTGCAGACCCAGCACTCACCCTTGACCCTTTTCCCGGGGACAGGTTTATGGGGCACCTGCCTCTGAGCAGCCCGCCGCTTTGTGGTGGAAATGCCGGCTGACCCCGATAGCTGTGGTGCTTGCCCTTGGTTTTGGGGGCACCGTTTGACCAGGTATCCAGCCGCCTGCCCTGCGCTTCTAGCACGGCAGCCTGACGACCTTGTGGGGAGCTCCACATTCGTAAGGCCCAGTTTTCCCTGTTTGTTACATGCTTGCTCAGGAAGTCTGATTGACTCTGAGCACCAACAGGCTTCCCACAGAAGCCTCTCGTTGTCCGGCTCTGCTGGATCTCCTCCACTGCCCCTTATCCGTGTTTTCCCAGGAGCTCTGGAAACTCCAGCATTCAGACCCCGTTTGGACACTTTCTGAAATGTCAGATGAGAGGGTTTCTTCCTTAGATATTTGAAGTGTTCATGGAGCTTCCCCACGGTGAGTGTACTTAGTGGAGTGAGCGTCATGGTCTCTCTCTTCAGAGTTCCCCTGGGTCTGGGGGAACCAGGCCTGGGCCCCCTGTGCTAGCAGAGAGAGCTGGCAGAAGCCGGATGGCCTGAGCCCCTTTAGAAGACAGTATGAATGGGTTCTGTCTGGTTGGTTGCTTGTGTTTGGAACAACCAGTTCTAAAGTGATGGCATATTCCCGTTTTTTTTACGAGAGTAACCGTAGGATTGCTCCTGTGGGGGCAAGGGCACCTTAGAACAAAGCACAAGCCTACTGGTGCTGTGAATGACACATAAGCTTTTTGCCTACATTCTCAAACCTCAGAAGCTGTAGGTTTAAATCACTGAAATTACTGCTGAGATCAGGGAGAGCCATTGTAATGCAGGGGCTTTTATATGCTCTGACCATGGGAAGGCAGGGGAAGGCAGGAGAAGGCTGCATGTCTTGGGCAGCCTCAGCCTGGAAACGGCCTCAAAGCTCACAAAATTACTGCTGAGATCAGGGAGAGCCATTATAATGCAGGGGCTTTTGTATGCTCTGACCATGGGAAGGCAGGAGAAGGCTGCATGTCTCGGGCAGCCTCAGCCTGGAAACGGCCTCAAAGCTCACTGCCCACAGGACTCTGTTGGTGTTCTGCTCTATCCTGCTGGGTTTTGGCTCCTGTCCCGCCTGCTCTGGCGCATTCTGCTGCCCTCTCTGGGTCTGCTCCTCTCCTTTCTGTGGCCAGGCACTAATGAGCTTCGTGTACCTTGATGCTTAGAATTAAAGCTGCAAATTCCCAGGCAGTCCCTTTCCCCTCTCGCCCTCTGTTCTGCACTGTGCTAGGTGTGGTGTGCTCTCCACAGTCCTTGGAGGAAAGGAAATTCTCATTTGGTTCGCTGGTTGCCTGGTGAGGTGGTTCCCAAGGAATGGGGCTCAGCAGAGCCAAGTAGGTTGCCCAGGGTGACCCTGGTAGCCAGCTGGGTGAACTCAGCAGTCCTGCGAGGACTTAAATTCTTACTCTCCTGATTCACAATGAGGCCCCAGTTGGCCCAAAGTTTGGGAACCCGTGTCCTGGAGAAGGCTGGTTTCCCCTTTGCCCCATCCCCCTACTCCTACCAGACCTGTCCAGCTCCCGTGACCCGGGCACTTCCAGGCCCTTCTGACTCTGAGTGGTGTGGATGTTGACACAGTGGTGACCACAGAGGCTCCTTCCATTCTGGAGACCAACTGAGAAAGACGAGGCATGGCCTAGAGCTGGGGATGGGGAAGGATGTGTGTGTATGTGTGTGTGTGTGTGTGTGTGTGTGTGTGTGTGTGTGTGTTTTCTCCGTGTGTGTGTGTGTGTGTGTGTTTTCTCCCTGACCAGCTAAGTTGATGTGGTTTGAGGGTGAACCTGTCCTGGAAGGAAGCTCCTGTGCAGGCCCCACCTCGTCCCATGCTGGTGATATGTCTGATGCCCACATCATCTTGAATGGGCTCATTGTGTAAAATCAGTTCACTCTGCTGCTGGGCTGCCACAAAAGGGTGTGTGTTCTTCAGGTCTGGGGAGCTGTGTGGTGGGGCATCTTACTGGGTTGTAAGTTTGTGGTCATTCTACAGATTTCAGAATTGAGGAAAGCTGTGTCCATTTTAGTCCTTTGCCACCTTGGCTTTCTGTCAGTGTTCTTTGTCTCCATTCACACCTGGCAGCTCTCGACATCCGTTTAATTAGGACACAGCAGTGGAGCGGGGAATGAGACATGTGCTTACTGCTCCAGCCGAGTCTCGCTCTGCCCTCACTTCATCTGCCCGCAGCCACCAGCAGGCTCTAATTCACTTTCCCTTGCCCAGAAACTTGTGGGGAACCCCCACCCCCATCTGTTGTCTTAAGGCGACCCCTTTTTCATCACTTCTACCCAGCCACTCTCTTGGGCTGCAGACGATGCCTTTGCTGAGTCCTTCTTCTGATACTGGAAAGCCCCTGCTTTGAGGAAACACTATGTCAAATGTCATTTGACGTTTGTATAGTATTTCAGAAGCGCGGCCCTGAACCGCAGTAGGAGATGTAGAGCTGCACCAGGGACTTCCACCTTCGCGTCTCTCTAGCTTTCTTCACCTCTTTCTTTGCGGTCACCATGCTGGGCCCCTGCAGCTAAACTTCCTGCTTGAGAAGCCAGGAAGCCCACCTCTGAGGGTCTAGTCTTTGTGACATCGCCTTTGATGTTGGCTTAGGAGGTCCAAAAAAACCCCAAAATCTCCATTTGAGGGCCAATTCCGGATGGTTGAGATGGATGATTGGTGACTTATTCTAAGATTGTATTTTTCCCTTTAACTCATCTTAAAACTATGAATATATATTTAAAATCCTTAATACCTGTAACTCATGGATTAAAACTTCAGTCTTTAAGGTGAGAAAGGTAGCTGCCCCTAAAATGCTTTTCATAACATTGGAACAGTTTTTATAAGAAAAGGCAAAATGGTAACTGAAATTCTAGGCAAATATACTAGGTTAAGGAAGTGTCAACCACACAGAGTATTGTTCCCCAGTGATAACCGGGGGCGGGAATGGGAAGTCAGCACTGCGGGCTGCGAGTGAGCCCTGCAGCATGTGTGGGAGGGTTGGCGGGGTTGTGGGCAAAGAGAAGCCCCGCAAGGCGGGACTGTGGCCCGGATTTATCAGAACTGCGTGAGTGGCTCGGGTTCTCGGAGCGTCACCGCTCTAGGCAGGGGTGAACCTAGGACCCAACCCCTTCCAGCTCCGCTGTGTGTGTTGTGCTATGCATGGAAACCATTGGTGTCTTGTGACCCGCGAGTGGCCTGGACTCGAGTTGGTGGATACTTTTATAGAAAAGCCCTGCTCTCTCCCCTCTTGCAGACAGCTGAGACTCTGCAGCCCACCCTGCAGTCCGAAATGCAGCTTGAGCATGGAGCCATCCAGATCCAGTGATGCAGGGCAGGCCACCTGAGCACGACAGGACCCGAGACGGAGCCGTCACCGCGCTCAGCGCCAGCTCCAGCCAACCACCCAGTTCTACACGCGCCCTGGCCCCACGGCTTTGCACAGAGGTGACTGCACACGTTCTGTTAAAGTGCATCCGAGAGCCTCATCCACAGGAGAAAGCGTCCCAGTAAATAAACAGATGGTAACAGCCACCACCCCTGCCAGAAGACCCCTTTCGTTTGAGTCACACTGTTGGTGTCTAGAGAAAGAGTGGGGAAGCACAGTGTGGATTGCATTAAGTACACACAGAAAATCAAGAACTACAATATTTTTCTCTGTTTAAACAGCTTTTTTTAATTTGCTATGGTGTTTATAACAAAAAAGAAAACTGAAAAAAAATGGACTAGCAGAAGCCTTTTGCTGTGTGCTCTGTTCAGTGTAATGAAAATAGGTATTTGCAAAGACAGCTAACGATTTTGATGGAAATATTGCTTACCTACTTTTCTAGGGGGAAATGCTCTCAACAATGTAATTAAGCATTTCTAATGAAATAAAATGTATTTATGACCACAGCAGCTTTAATATTATTTTCGCTTAAAAGATGGTTTACCGAGGCCACCCTCACTCCTGGTGGGTGCTCAGGGGTCACCCCGTGGGCTCTTTCAGCTATACTGACAGTACTTGCGGGATCCTTGCAAAGGAAGGAGTGTGGCTGCTTCTTCAGTCCCATGTAACAGGCCTGGAGTGTCAGCATCCCCACATGCAGAGAGCTGCCCCAGGAGAGCGCCCCCTCTCAGACACAGGCATCCTTGAGACAGTGTGAGCCAACTTCAGTCTTGTAGGCACTCCTACCAGTAATCCGTGCTGTCAAATGACACAGGCCTTTTCCAGCTCAGAAAGTTACAGCTCCAGGATTCCTTAGAAAAAATCCTGTCCAGAGGATCCTGCTTCATCGTCTAAAGTTAAAAAAGAAAGGCAGAGAAAGCGGTTCCAAACACAAGCGCAGAGGTGGTTTGCATTACACGTGACCGGTGTGTGGCACTCGTTTCTGTCAGACCATTTCGGTAGTTATATTAGTCAGATTTGTGAAATTCCCACAACAAAATTGTGTTCACTGACTTAGACTATGACTGCACGGTGCTTTTTCTGGGAAGCATTCAAAGTTTTCATTCCAAATAGTCACGCCTGTTCCTGCTCCACCCCTTGGGGGTTCCAGGGCCTGGGTAGCTTACACTGGGGCACGTGGAGGGGTGAAGGAAGTGCGGGGGAGGTAGAGCAGCTCCCTACAGTGGGACAGCATGTCTACATCCCATGCCTCCATCCATCCTCCTAGGATGGCGCCTCCCTGGACAGTCACCTGAGAGAGGCTATTCTCCAGGAGACGGAAATGGGAAAAAGGACCAGTCACGAGGCTGGAAGGAGAAGGTCTAATGAGCATATGTCTGGAATCCCAGAAGGAGAGAGTGGAGAGAACAGAAGAAAGATGACATTTAAAGGATTGGGGAAGCAGAACAGGTCCCAAGTAGAAATAAAAGCAAATCCATGCCTGGACACACACACTACATTAAGGACAAAGATAATTCTGAAAGCTGCCCGAGAGAAAAGCCAGACCACCTACAGCAGGATGAAGGAATCACAGCAGACTTCTCAACAAGAGAAGTCGACATCAGAAGCAGAGAGTAGTACCAATGAGGCATTGAAAGAAGAAAATTCTCTACACAGAATTGGGTCTTTAGTAAAACTATCGTTCAAGAGTGCTGGTGACAGTCACCATTGGATCCCACAGTTCCACTCCTAGATGTACACTCAAGAGAATGGAAACCATATGTCCACATATAAATTTGTACGTGAGTATTCATGACAGCAGTGTTCACAGTGGCCAAGGATTGGGAAGAACCAAGTGTCCAACGGCTGACTGGATAAACAAAATGTGGTACATCCTTAGAATGGAATATTATGTTGCCATAAAAAGAAATGAAGCACTGCCACTTGCTACAACATGGATGAATCTTCTTTCTGAGTGAAAGAAGCTGGACACAATAGGCTACATGTTATATAATCTTATTAATATGAAATGTTCAGAATAGGCAAATCCATAGAGATAGCAGATTAGTAGTTGCCAGGGGCTGTGGGGGAGGGGAGAGGGAGGTATGGGGACATGGGGCTTTTTTGAGGTGATAAAAATGTTTTGGAATTAGTAGTGATGTTGGTACAACTCTGTAAAGTTACTAAAAGTCATCGAATTGCACAATGAAAAGGGTGAATTTTTTGGTATATAAATTATATCTCAAAGTTAATAAGAATCAATTGGGTGACGTTAAAAAAAACATAAACAAAAATGAGGATGTTACTAGCAGATAATCCCTCAAAAAAGGAAATCATAAGGAATTTTCTTCAAGAGGAGGAATATGGATTCCAGGAAAGAGCAAGAAAGAGTAGTGAACAAATAGAAAAATAAACACACAGGTATAAGTGCTCTGCTCTTATAATTCTGCTTCTGTCTCACTGAAATTGTTGAAAATAATAAAATGTTGGAAAACATTATAAGTTGAGATGGGCCAGAAAGGAGCTAAATTGTTTTAAAACCCCCTTTTATTGCCCTATTAAAAAAAGATCAAGATACTGTACAATTTTAAGATGTGAAATTCAATATTTTTGACAAACATTTAAAAAACACCATATAAAAAGTCAGTGAGGTGTGGTATCTCGGCTGTGTTTAAGGAATTCGATGTAAGTGACATGTAGAACACGGCGTCCAGCAGTCATGAAGCACACATTCTTCCCATGTGCTCTTTGGAACTTTATCAAAGTTGGCCACAGGCCAGACCATAAAGAAGGCCAAATAAGAAATCAAAATGGGAAAGTATTTTTAATTGACAGTTAATTTGATAAATTGACATCAAAACTTGCGGAATACATCAAAAGTTGTTCTGAGGAAAATTTATATTTCATATAGATATATTCCTGAAGTGGGACTACTGGATCATATATAGTAGTTCTATTTTTAACCTTTTGGAGGACATCCATCCAGACTTTTCCATCTGTGGCTCTACCAATTTATAGTCCCACCAACAGTGCACAAGTGTTTCCTTTTACTCCACATCCCCGCCAGCACTTAGTATCTCTTGTCTTTTTGATAAAAGCCATTTTAATAGTTTCGAGGTGATATTTCATTGTGGTTTTGATGTGCATTTTCCTGATGAATAGTGATATTGAGCATCTTTTCATATACTTGTTGACCATATGCTCGTCTTCTTTGGAAAAATGACTGTTCAGTTTCTCTGCTCACTTTTTAATGAGATTCGTCTTTGTTTTTGCTATAGAGTTATATGAGTTCCTTATTTATTTTGCATATTAACCTGTCATCAGTTGGATAGCTTGCAAAATTTCCTCCCATTCCAAAAGTTGCATCTTCATTTTGTCGATTATTTCTTTTGCTCTGCACAACCTTTTCATTTTGATGTAGTTTTACTTGATTATTTTTGTTTTTCTTGCTTATGCATAATGTGTAGTATCTCAAAAATTGTTGCCAAGGCTAGTGTCAAGGAGCTTTTTCTCTGTTTTCTTCTAGGAGCTTTATGGTTTCAGGTCTCACTTTTAAATCTTTAACCCATTTTAATTTTTGTGAGTGGTGTAAGATAAGGGTTCAATTTTATTCATTTGCACATGAATATCCAGTTTTTCCAGCCATGTATATTGAAGAGACTGTCCTTCCCCCATTGGAATAGTCTTAGTTCTCTTGTCAAATATTAGTTTATATATGTGTGGGTTCATTTCTGGGTTGTTAGGTTTTTTTTTCATTGCTTTATATTTCTGTTTTTATGCCAGTACCATACTGGTTTGATTACTAGAGCTGTGTAATATAGTTTGAAACCAGGAATTGTGATGCCTCCAGCTTTGTTCTTCTTTCTCAAGATAGCTTTGGCTATTCAGATTCTTTTGTGGTTCCACTGTGAATTTTAGGAATATTTTTTCTATTTCTGTGAAAGATGCCCTTAGAGTTTTGATAGGGATTACACTGAATCTATAGATGGTTTGGGGTAGTGTGGACATTTTAACAATATTTTTTCAACCTATTAACATGGGATATCTTTTCATTTATTTATGTCTTTAATTTTTTCCATTGGTGTCTTATAGTTTTCAGTGTACGAATCTTATAGTTCCATGGTTAAATTAATTCCTAACTACTGTTTTTGATGCTGTCGTAAATGTGAGATTATTTTATTTATTTTTCAGATTGTTTGTTAGTGTATGGAAACGCAACTGATTTTTGTATGTTGGTTTTGTATCCTGCAACTGTACAGAATGTTTATTAATACTAATTGTGTGTGTGTGTGTGTGTGTGTGTGTGGAGTCTTTAGGATTTTCTATATATAGGATTGTATCATCTATAGACAGACAGTTTAACTTCTTCCTTTCTGATTTCGATGCCGTTTCTTTTCCTTGGCTGAATGCTCTTCCTAGGACTTCTAGTACTGTGTTCCTAGGAGTGGTGAGAGTGGGCATCCTCATCTTGTTCCTGATCTTAGAGGAAAAGCTTTCAACATTTCACTGTTGATATGATAGCTGTGAGCTTGTTGTTTATGGCCTTTATTATGTTGAAATATGTTCCTTCTACACCCTATTTGTTGAGAGTTTTTATCATGAAAGGATGTTGTATTTTGTCAAATGCTTTTCCTGTATCTGGAGATGATAATATATTTATCTTTTATTGTATTAATGTGATATATCCTATTTGCGTATGTTGAACCATCTTTGCATCCCAGGGATAAATCCCACTTGTTCATGGTGGATGGTATTTTTCATGTGCTGTTGAATTTGGTTTGCTAGTATTTTATTGAGAATTTTTACGTCTGTATTCATCAGGAATATCGACCTGAAGTTTTCTTGTAGAGTCCTCATCTGGCTGTTGTCAGGGTGATGCTGGCCTTGTAAAATGAATTTGGGAGTGTTCCCCCCTCTTCAGTTTGTTGAAAGAGTTTGAAAAGGATTGGCATTGGTTCTTATTTAACTGTTTGGTAGAATTCACCAGTGAAGCCATCTGGTCCTGGACTTCTCTGTGTTGAGAGATTTTTTGATTACTGTTTAATCTCCTTTCTCCTTAATGGTCTCTTCAGATTTTCTATTTCTTTTTAATTCAGTCTTGTTTCTGGGAGTTTCCCATGCATTTCTTCTAGGTTATTCAGTTTGTTGGTGTATGATTGTTCATAGTTGTCTCACATGATTCTTTGTATTTCTGCGGTATTAGTTGTGGTGTCTTCTCTTTCATTTCTGATTTTGTTTATTTGAGTCTTCTCTCTTTTCACTTAGTCTAGCTAGTTTTGTCAATTGTGTTTATCTTTTCAAAAACCATCACCATGAGCTGTATGTAAATTTATAATTGTTATATCCTTTTGATGAACTGATCCCTTTATCATTATTTGATGACCTTTGTCTCTTGTTACAGTTTTTGACTTAAAGTTTATCTTTTTATATAAATATAGCTACCCCTTCTGTTTTTTGCTTTCCTTTTGCATTGAATATCTTTTCCATTCCATCCCTTTAAGGCTATGTTTTTCCTTAAAGCTGAAGT